TTGGAGATTAAAAGAAGGAAATTCCAATTGAAAAGCCAAGCTCACGATGTGAGGGATCAAATCTAACAACGTGAGTATCAAGTTCTAGAAGATCAGCATACGGGATCTAATTTCCTTTAAAGAGAAGGATTACTACTGAGCTCACGAAGTGAGATATCAATGCTTACGACGTGAGCAACTTATTTACCAAAACTATAAATATTCCTTCGTTCTCACGGCTTTAGTAGGCTTTTGGATAGTTTTCTAAAGGAAAGGTATTCTAAGAAACCGATTTTGGAGTCCAAAAAGTGCACAAAGCATGCTTTTGAAGGAGATTTGCTTGGAGATCAAGATATTGAAGAACACATTCATTAAATTGGTTTGTTTACTTTAATCATGTCAATTTATCTGGAGATTTTGTTTATGTTTTCAGCCATGAGTATCTGAATTTCTTTTCTTTCATTTAGCTAGATGAAGCTTTAACTCCGTGGTTTAGTTTATAAAATTATGGATTTTAATAGTTGGTTTTGAGCTTGTGTTTGTTTATCATTACCTAACATGTTAATATTTGATGCTTTGATTGCTTGAATTCAGGTTTTATGTAGCTTAGTGACCATTAAATTACATGAACTTGATACCTAGTAGTTTAGTGACTATTAAATTGCTAGAGCTAAGATTGACCAAATCTTATATAAGTGATCAAAGTAACTAGTTTAGCTGTACTGGAGAACATAAATTATGAACATAGCTGTGTTTGTTTAGATAAATTGTAATAGCCTAAAAATTCAGATAAAAATTTTCATTTAATAATTAAAAATCTCATTCATATTAATTTGCCACAATTCCATTACATAATCATATTATTTAAAAGATCAGAGTATCCAAAACAACTAATGCGGAAATACTGGAGAGTGCACGTTGCGCTATGAAGTCGGGCCCTTGCCCTTAGAACCAGAAGTACCTGAAACACCCAACAAAACTGTAAGCACACGCTTAGTGATCTTGCAGCGGAAATTGATTTTCTGGCTCTCACATATTTATGTCGCTGACTCGCTGTTTGTTTTTGTTCGTATAAATTGATCAATTGGGGAAGATAACATATTTTTTACAAGTTTAGTCCCCTGACTTTTAGCCAACTGTTGATTTTAATCCATATTCTGAAAGGATTACAAATTCACGGACCGATGAGCAAATTTTTGTGTTCTTCAAATTCTTGAAGAACACAAAAATAATTCTGAGTTTGTTATTTGTGTTACTTGGTTCTAACATGTGGTATGAGTTCTCTTAGAATTACTAAAATTTGTTTTATTTTTGTCATATAAAAAACATTTTCATATAGTTTTATTCTTACATAATTTAATTTCATGGCAGGTATTCTCATAGAATGCATGAAGGACATGATGATCAATGGCCTGAAGGTTGGATGAATGTGTGTGGGATGGAGATGATCAATCGTCAATGGTCACCGGTCTTCCAAAAAAATGCACAATTCATTGTTATATTCTGGTAGAATAATCTATAAATGCACAAATCATTGTTATATTCTGGTAGAATAATCTATAACAGAATGATAAAAGTATATATATAATACTATATTCTGAATGAATAATCTACATATTGTATTTGTTTGTTATTAGTGAGTGTTATATCATTGTTGAATAATATGTAATTTTTTAGTCTTTTTAAGAATGTGAGGAAAAAATTGAACTTGTGTCTAAAATTTTGTTATTCTTTAAAAGTTCATTCAACCAAAATATATATTAATAACATTATATATAATGATAGAATAACATTGTGACAAAATTGTATAACATAATTATCATTCTTACAGAATAAAAAATCTGTCTTGCTTACAATTTACGTTATATTTTAAATTGATATAATTAATAAAAATACATTTTTTAAATCAAGAGAATAAATTATCCCTAAAATTTGGAATTTTCTTTTTTTTTAATTTAACTTAATTGACTAAAATACCCTTATAATGAATTTAGACGGTGATTTTCCACTATATTTAATAAAATTTATTTACAACTTTCTTAAAATAAATAAAATGATTGATCCACAATCAATTCTATATCTAGACAAGAGATAATTAGAATACAATAATCTAAGGTTATATATATATATATATATATATATATATATATATATATATATATATATATATATTATATATATATATATATATATATATATATATATATATATAGGGAAGGGTTATTTGGAAAATAAAAAAAACCCTAAAAATCATAAAAATACATAAAAAAAAAAATACTTAGAGATCAGAAAACTTTTTAAAATTTTTTTTCTAGAAAAATCATAGGTTTTTAATAAAATCACTGAAAAATAAAAAAATCAAAAATCAATTTTTTTTTAAATTGGTTTTTTTTTTTAAATTTCATCGATTTATACTAAAAGATGCGGTTTTTTCGTAAAAGAATTCAAAAAAAGTTTTGCTATCTCTAAGTATTTTTTATGCATTTTTTTGATTTTTAGGGTTTTTTGTTTTCTATACAACCTAATTTTATATATATATATATATATATATATATATATATATATATATATATATATATATATATATATATATATATAAGAGTAGGATCAAATGAGAACACTAAAAAAGTTGAGAATGCGAGAACAAAGTATATTCATTTGTGATTCCATATATTCATTTGTGGAGAAATGATAAATTTTTACGCATTTAATTTCAATTGAAGAGAAAAAGCATATTCATGTTGTTTGTGCGTAAAAATTATCATTTCTCCACAAATGAATACGTGGAATCACGAATGAATATACTTGTTATCGCGTTCTCAACCTTTTAGGTGTTCTCATTTGATCCTTTCCCTATATATATATATATATATATATATATATATATATATATATATATATATATATATATATATATATATATATAGTTATGTTTATTAAAATACTCGTTTATATGAATTAGTTTATTCAATTTCCCTAAAGGAATAATGACTTAGGAGGGTAATAATGTTTCATGTTTGTCCATTTTAGGTCCCCTAACGCATTTTTTGTGCGTATTACACCATTAAGGTTGTTATAACCGTTTACAAATAGTCATTTTAACATGAAGAAACCGGTAAAAGAGATTATTTGTAAACGGTTATAACAACCTTAATGGTGTAATACACACAAAAAATACGTTAGGGACCTAATATGGACAAACGGAAAATGTTATTACCCTCCTAAGTCATTATCCACATATGAAACTATAAACCCCTATAGTTAATTTTTACTTTTTAAATAAGAAACTTGTAGGTCTTGCGGTTGGTAGTTTGGATGTTTTTAACATTGACCTTTTTTATGAATGGAAGTGGTGGTTTCTTAATAACAATGGAGCTCTTTGGGTTTAAATTGTCAATTTTTGTCATGGAGAAGGTGGTCGTTTTTCGGATGATTCGAGAATAGGAACTAGAAGGGGTGTTTGGTAAAAGATTATAGGATCCATTAATCATCTCCATGAAAATAGGTCTATTCCTTCTAATTCCATGTATAGAGTGGTGGGGGATGGGACTCAAACAAGGTTCTAAAAGGATGTTTGGTGCTTGGATATTCCTCTTAGGGAGCGGTTTGGGAGGCTCTTTGCTTTGGCCTTTAATCAAGATGCTCGAGTAAGTGAATAATGGGATTCGGGGGGATGTAATTTTTATTGGCGTCGAGGGATTAGAGGAGGGGCTGAATCGACCCAATTTGATTATCTTATGGAGATATTAAATCCTATTCGCATAGGGGAAATGTCGGATAAGTGGTCTTGGGAGCTTGAATCGTCAGATATCTTTATTGTTAAATCAACATGGAATTTGGTTAATTATATGACGCTTCCTATGGATAGTATGCCTACTAGGTGGAACCGTTTTGTCCCTATTAAAATTAACATTTTTATAGTGTGTGCTTTTGGATCGCATTCTGGTAAGAGCTAAACTGGTGGAAAGGGGGGTGGTGATAGATTCCTTATTGTGTCCTGCGTGTCATAATTCTCAAGAAAATGTGAAACATTTGTTGTTGCAGTTTTCGGTTGCTGATCAGGTTTGGAGTCGGGTTGGGCATTGGCTTCATTTGGATCTTCCTGTGTTTTCATCTATCCGTGATGTGGTGGATTGGGTGGATTCTAGACCGACGGTTCATATGGAACGTCCGATTGTTGAGTCGGTGTTCATAGTGGTCATATGAGTGCTTTGGACGTTTCGTAATTCTTTACTTTTTAGTAGCAATAAACCTAGAAAAGATAGGCTCTTTGATTCTGTTGTGGATCTTTCTTTTCGTTGGTTTTCGTTTCAGAATTCTAAAGCTCAGGTTAATTGGATGATGTGGTTACAAAATCCAATCCGGCCTTAATTTGTTCTTCTCTCTAGCTCCTTGCTAGAGGTTTTGTTTTGCTAGAGGTTAACTGAATGATGTGGTTACAAAATCCAATCCAAATCTATCTACTTTTTATTATTTTTAATTTCAACAACTTTATATGAAATACACATATAAAAATAAATACTAAAAATCTTAAAAATATATATTCAAAATAATAAATACAAAAAATCTTAGGAGGGTAATAACGTTTCATGTTTGTCTATTTTAGGTCCCTACGTAATTTTTGTGCATATTACATCATTAAGATTATTCTAACCGTTTACAAATAGTTCTTTTAACAGAAAGAAATCGGTAAAAAGATTATTTGTAAACGGTTATAACAACCTTAATAGTGTAATACACACAAAAAATACGTTAGGAACCTAATATGGATAAACGGAAAACGTTATTACCCTCCTAAATTATTATCCCTTTCCTTAAAACTAAACCTTATTAAAATTTATAAACTCTAGTTATCTCTTTTAATCATAAAAAAAAAAAAACAATGTAGACATTGTAATTGAACAATTTTAATAAGTAAAAAATATCTCTTCAACCTTGTATTTATAATAAACAATATATGAAAAATGATTGTAATATTCGTACCAATAACACCACATATTTCATTCGATGGCTCAAAAGCCCTCAAAGTCTTTGTTTATTATGAACAAAACAAAAAACAAAAGGTCTACAAAGTAAAATCACTCACAAAACACATCGTCTTAAGCTCGATCACTATAATCACACCTGATGATATTATGTAATATGTACTAACGATAATGTATCAAACAAAACGGAATATCCGTCTTAAGCTCGATCACTATAATCACACCTGATGATATTATGTAATATGTACTAACGATAATGTATCAAACAAAACGGCTTAGATATTCGTCAACTGTAATGTATTTAACATCTGGATAAAGCGTTGAAGCTTCGACCCCGACTGATGGTTCAATCTCAAAGTTTGTTTGATCTCCTTTCACAAAGACGGAGTGCCAAATCGACAAATTCTTTTTTAGTGGGGCAGTAGATTCTGCATGATAACCAACAAATTGTTTATCTTAGTCCTTCATTTTCTTTCAAAAATAGCTATTGGAAAGAGAGAGAAATTAACTCCAACATAATATTAATGAAAAGGGATGTTCTAGTATTGAACAAACTTACAACACATACCCTCTAAGTTCTTCAAAACTTGGCTTTCACACAGATATACCCTCTCCAAGGTTTTTCCGATCTTTTTCTCCCATAACGACACCAACTCATGCAATGAGTAAACGTTACACGAAGGCTTGATGTAAACGATTTTGTTTAGGGTCCTTGGGTCATCAATAGTTTGAATTGTGTAGGTTGCAATGTCATGTTCCTCGTTGAAAACAGCTGTGAATTACGTTGATGATTATATATGTAACCCATAATGGTTACCTTTTGTATATGAAAAACAATTGTTTTTACTGTTTACCTTTCGTATCACCATCGCCGAAGATAACCACCTTATCCAACGGAGGAGCGGTGGCTTCAGGCTGTGCCAAACTCGGAAGAAAGTAACCATCAAAGCAATTGTTAACTATGTACGTATAAGGGATTCCTTCGGCTTCAATGGCACGATGAATTTGAGCCTTAGTTGCGAAAGCTGTTTTAGCCGGACCCACTGCATGAGTACGATCCACGTCATTTCCGAACTCCGATGGGTAGAATTTCTTCATCACATTGAAATACGTCAAGAAAAAAAGTTTGATCGTTAATTCTATAAGCAACGTTTGGAGCAAATCGACTTAGGTAATTCTAAATCGAAAGTATTATCCGTGAATTTTTTAATGAATTTGATACAAGGAGATATATATAATTACTGAGAGTAAATTTCAATCATAATCGTTATCAACTTCAGAAGATCAATCCGATTCAAACGCATTATATTTGTAGTTTTCAATACCTTGACATTGCCAGCTGCTTTGATGGCGGCAATGATGTTAACTTGATCACCAAATTGCGCGGGACCGACTGTCGAGATCACTACATCTACCTGCTTTACTGCGCTCAGCAGGCTATCATGGTCATACAAATCGCCCTGCATATAAGCGAAATATTATGAGTAATTCACTTAAAATTGCTTCAATTCAATCATGTTACAGATTTATAAATTATAATACTTTAATTAAAATATGAAAACGAAGGATTATTACTGACAGTGATGAAGGTAACGCCGGATTTCTTAAATGAGTCGAGCATGGAGGATTTGGATGGATTTAAGAGCGTGGATCCCCTGATGAGGAGGAAAGTAGGGTGGCCAGACTTGACACTGGCCTCAACGATGAATTTTCCGATGTAACCAGTTCCTCCGATGACCAAGATCTTACTCTTCTCCCCCATATTTCTTTCTACAATGACTGGAAAATGGGAGACAGGAGTCTAGCTAGTAACGACGGTGGCTCTAGAAGTGTGAAATTTATAACTGGTCGCTAGCTAGGGTGAAAGACTACAACACTCTACTAATGCGTTTAAACCACTTTATTATTTTAATAATTTTGAAAGTAAAAGAGTTGGTAATACCATGTACATGTAATCAGTTTGTAGTATGAAAATTTATGGTGACAATCATTATTTAATAAAGAGGAGGTAACCTTTATTAATAGATTACCAAGTTCTATATATGCTATTGATGATGCCAATGTGGTATCTATATGGCATATTTCATGTTTATATGTGTAGTCTACGTGGCACAAACAACCAATGAATTATATACATACCATCACCACCATCCTCCACCACCACTACCACCGTCTCCCAGCACCAAACTATCATTAAATTCTGACAACATCGGTCTCCCACCTCCACACTATCATTAAATCCCGACAACCTCCTTCTCACACAACCACGCTATACTATCATTAAATTCCACCACACTATCTTATCACATTTTAGATTAGACGATGGTAGTAGTAGAACCCAATGCATAATCACATACCCAATGACATTTCAAACTTTGTTGTTTCTATCTTGGGCTGAATCCAAAACTTATCACGTTTCAGATTAAGGTAATAGTAAAAATGAAGCTTGTTTGTAAGCTACCACAAAATACATAAAACAAACATGATGACAATAATGACAAGGTTTAGAAAGACCAAAGTACAAGTGAAGACTATAACACATCACAAAACACACAAAGCAAACTTACGATTACAAAAATAGAATCCAAGCAACTTACTAAAAAACATGCACACAAAGCAAAAATAATGAGATAATGAGAGATGAGTACAAGTTTTCAGTTGTCTTAGTCGTCAAGATACGAGATGTAGGCTGCTGATTCATACGGCATATTCTTACCAAAATCAAGATAACACACATTTATACTCAAATTCATACCAATATCATCCAAAAAATTTAAACATTTTAAGCTTACCATTACAGACAGAATCCAATCGTTTCAAACATAACTTAACTGTCTTAACAGAAACCATACATTTCAAAATCCAAACGCATATTAGAGCTTAAATTTAACTGAATCCAAACAGAAATTATACTTTGGAATAAACCCAAACACCATAATCCCATTCTTGATGGAGCCTTAACAACTCAAAAAGGAATAACATTTCTTCATTTGGATGATGACGTAGACGGTAGGGCCGAAGTATAATCTTGTAGTAGAAGCAGTAGTGCCTTTGCCTTCTTTCAAACAGGAGATATGTTCTTTATTTTATATTCAACCTACTTTATTCCAAAATCCAAATGCAAAAATTTAATTTTGAACCTTTCAAGATATATTACTATAAAAAATTATTCTTTAAAATACTCGATTAAAAAAAGAAAAATTATAGTAACACAAATCAGGACGCCTGAATACAACCCTGGCGGCCTAAAATGCCGATAGTCACTTGCAGTAAAAAAGAAAAACACATCGCTATTATTTGAATTTAGCCTATCAAGAAATCAAAAAATCGATTTTCTGTTTTTTAAACAACTGCTGTATTTTCACTTTCCACCCAAAGCCCATTACACTTTTCTAATGATCCGGATGTTAGAAATATTAAGAAATGATCTCAATGATGTATCGAAATATATTTCTCTAATAAGAAATAAAGGGAAAGTACAAGATTATATCTGAATACATTGCTTTTTATTGCATTTAGCATTATATCTAATAACAAAAGATGAGATGATATTTAGTAAGAGTGAATTTCACAAATTGTTTTTATGGTAAAGCGGAAATTACAAGATTAAAGTTTGCTTTTTATTGCATGGCTTGTCCATGTGGTTTCATTTTCTTGTAAGAATCGTATTTATCATCAACTCCGTTAGAAAGCATATATAATTAAGTTTTTGTACGCTCATTTTTGACGGAATTAGTGATAAAGACAAATCATGTATGAAACTGAAAACAGATAGACAAGTTACAAAAAAGCAAAAGCTTGCCCAAAGTTGTGATTTTCACTATATCACATATATCAATTATGTAATTTATGATGTGGCGTATGTAAGAGGTAGAATTGATTCTAGATTATTTTTAGAACGACGACAAACACTCTATAATCTACTAATTAAAATACATCATTGTCCCATGATTTAACCTTTAACCACTTGGGGTAAAGGGCACTACTATTTCAAAGACCTGATACCCCCTTCGACCCTTAGATGATTGGGTTCCATATAGATATTATTAAGACCCATTGAAAGATATTATTGATGAATAAAAGTTACATCAGTAGCAAATATATATAATTAAATTATATCATCAAAACTAGTAATCATAATGAAATTCTTATAGAACTCTCGAATAGATGCAGTTTGAAACTCAAAATATGACATCTAATCTTTGTAACTTTTCACAATACAAAATAAAACCAACATAGTATAAAACAAGAACTAAAATAAGAACTGACCAAAGCATTTGCCTTGAATTGGAATCACTCCCTCATTTCATCATCTTCATCGCTCAATTTTACATCAGCAAGCAGTTCTTCCAATGGCACAGAAAATTCATCCTCATCATCCACCATTTCCGAAGGCTGATAATCTTCATTTCTGTAAAGTGATATATCAAATCTCAATTCTGGGTTCTCTTCAAGATCCCTACAAAACTCTTCATATTCATCATTCATCTTTTCACCTCCATCAACCTCCATATTTAGCATTTTAAGCTTCCATGAACGCGACTTCCCCCACTTCTTCTTCCTCCTTTCTTCATAACTCTTTTTTACCAAAATAACCTCCGGAACCACACCTTTATAATTGTCGAATTCTACATCGTTAATGTTAGCAGCATGTAAGTCATACCCAAGCGCATAATCCCCAGGCTTTAAAACATTCACTAGATGAGTTCTTATGAAGAAAATCGTATCATTCTTCCCAAAATCAGATACACGCGCCACATGTACATCAGCCATTTCGAAATTCAAACCATTGACTTTGATCTGAATCGGGTTAACATTCAAGACTACATATTCCACGAGCTGTTTAGAGGAAAGAAATGAAGCAAAAGGTGTTCTCCAGTATTCATCGGCCTCAAGAATTGAACATGGTGGCATCTAAGAACGTGATACCAGTGCTGATTTTACTACAGATAACAAGTGGGCCAATTTGAGCGAGTTTTGGAATTGGAGGAAGCCAAACAAGATCTTCACGACAAATAGGACAAATTTCGATTGAAAAAGTGTAATTGTAATTATAGTTGTTGCTTTTCGTATCATGGGAAACGAGTTATTTATCGTCTCGGCTTCTAATCGGGACAACTTTCCGAACAAACTCCTTAAATTTATCTGCGTGACTACGATTTACAAAAAAAAAAATCAATCCCTCGATTCATTTGTTTGATTCTTATGGCTTTATGAGCAGCATCGTGTTTGAGAATAAGTTGTTCCAAGTATAAGAAAGTTCTCCGGTGAGCAACATGTTGCCGGAGTTGGAAGACGGCGACCCACTGATCTGGGTTGGCTTTGACTCGTGTACAAGACTCGCACATTTGATCTTGAATAAAGTAATGTACTACATAAGCTTGTTCGAGAACGACGCCGTTTTGAACTTCTTTTTGAACTTTTAGTTTGACTTTGATTCTCTTGGAGTGAGGTTCAGTCCAGATGAATTCGGCGTGAATTAATCTTACTTCATTCAGATTGTTTAATCTTTTCAGACAGAAAGTTAATAGTTCTTTGGATTCTAACTGGGTTTTAACCCATGTTCTTGGTGGCTGTAAGGAACGATCACATTCAGGGCAATGAATAATGGTGACTTGCTTCTGTAAACCTGCTGTTATGTCTTCTTGAGAACGAAGACACGTGGCGCACATATTGGCAGCATTTGGGGCCATTGGAATGCCGCATGTGCAACAGAGAACGCTTCCTACAGTTTGCTTTACCCTAAACATTCCTGCATATAGCCAAATATTATGTTTGATTAACGACTCAAATCGAACATAGCTTTTAATCATAACAGCAAATTAATATGATTTATGAAACTTGACTATATAAAATTCTGATCAAAATCCAATATACAATGACACAGAGATTTGTTCAAGCAATTTGTTTATGTATTAACAATTTTTAGAGAATAAACGACTTTGTTTCAATTCGGGAATCAAGTTCATCAAAGAAAATTGTATCGTTTATGTTTTAATAAAGCTTAAAGTGATAGACAATCACAGAGAGATATCAGAGTCGAGAGAAGATCTAGATGAGAGGAGTGTACCCGAAGGTGATTTGCCGATCACAGAGTAGGGATGAAGAGGACATGGGGCTTGATGAAGATGACCTGGTGGCTGTCGACTATATATACATTAGGGTTAGATGGTAGTGTTTTAAAATTGAGACAAAACAAAACTATTTTGGACATTTTATCCATTTTTATATTTCACTAATGAATTATAGTAGAGAAGTGGGCCCAATGTTGGGAAAGGGTCCAAAATCTTATGCATTATTGGCATAAGTGGAAGCGGCAAAAAAAAAAATTGATATGATACGAAACACGACATGAACCCGACATGAAATAAACGGGTTTTGGTAAGATATTTCAACCCGTTTAAATAAACGGGTTGACACGACACGACACGAAAATTAAACGGGTAAGGTTAGGGTTGAGAATTTCAACTCGAAAATGATCTGTTTATTTATATGCAAATTTTTTGAATTATCTAAATAAACTAGAAAGATACACAACCAAAACCATAAGTAAAAGAAAACCTTCGAATTAAGTCGTTTTGTAATGTTGAAATGACTTACTTGTCTAGATCAAGACTTAATTTATGTTTTTCCATTCTCTCCCAAACTACCCAGTCTCTTTCATCACTCTCACATCCTCACGACCTTTTCATCCGCCTCTCCAACTCCCACTTTTTTAATTTTATCATTTGAATTTGCTATGACTTCATCTATTCTGCTTCCAAACTATTAGTTTTTCCTCTCCACCTACCTAATTCCTACTTTTCCAACATGCTCAATCTTTTAACCTCACATGACACGATATATTTCAAGGTATAACCCTAACCCGAAACCCAACACGAACTCGACATGAAAATAAACGGGTTGACACGACACGACACATTAATTAAATGGATCGGGTTAGGATCAAACACTTTCAACTCGTTTAGTGTTTCGATACGACACGATTGTCACCTCTAGGCATAAGCATTTCAATAACATCTTAATTTCATGATTTTTGTTCACAGTATAATTTAATACTCAAGTGGGTTGACGAAAGTAAGCTAATCTAAAAGAAAATTGTTATCGACTACCCTTTCTTTCGAGTCATGAGTGTCAACTTGTTCTCGTTATTTGATTCAAGTCATTCATATTTACCACTTGATTGGAGTTTTGGTGGTTTCCGTCTCAAAGTTTTCCATCTTCTCGATTTATATTATATAATGCTTAATAGGGTTTTAATGTTTATTGGGCTACTATGCCACTAAAATGGATCAATTGGCAATTCGGTCTAGTATTAGTGGCAATACAAATTTTTTTTAGTTAGGTTTCATAGGGGTAGAACTAGAAAATTTTCAAAGAGGTGGTAAAAAGATTTTTCTTCTGTAAAAATATTTTTTTTTGAGTTTTTTTTTTATTATTATTATTATGGGGCAACTGTATCAATATAGGTCCCCTTTAGGCCTGCATCATTTATTCATACCTTTTTTATATTTGTTACTGTCCCCAATAATTATTTTTTAATAATTAAGTTATCACATATTTTTTACCAATTAATTAATATTATTTTTAATAATTAAGTTATGATAACATATTTTTACTAACATATTTATAATTAACTATGACTTTATTTATTCCTACCCCTTTATCATTTATTTCTACCTAAGGTTATAGAACTCGCTACTCGGTACCTGTTCGGTTGACTAGGGAGTAGCGAGTACTCGGGAGTATTCGGTAGTACTCGGGGAGTACTCGGATTCGGTAATTCATGTAGAAGTATTTTTAGGAAAATCATAAAGTTAAAATCATAATTTGATTGAAATATATAACAAAAGTAGATACATGTGAATACATAAAAACTGAAATACACACACATGTCTTACTTCATAAATAATTACTGAAAATTTAAGATATATATGTAGTAATAATCACATTTGTGTGTTAAATAATAAATCATTAAGTGTTATATACATATTAATCTTGAAATTCTTGATTTTTTTTCTCTTTTTATGACAATTTTGACCCTTTGACTGAGTTTGACCGATTTTGACCGAATTGGCCGAGTTTGACCGAGTAGTCCCGAGTTAGAGAGATATTGACCGATTTTTGACCGAGTTTGACTTAATCCGAGTTTTTTTGCCGAGTTCACATTACTCGTCTCGGTGGAGGGTCGATTCCGAGTAATCGGCCGAGTAGGCCGAGTTTTGCAACACTGTCTCTACCCTTTAATCATTTTTTCAATCATTGTTTTTACTAATCATTTTACTTTTCTTTACTAATCATTACTAATTAAATTATGATTACATGATTATTATTAATAGTTTTTTTAAGATATTATTTTTATTTCAATTCTAACACTCTCATTTTTATTAAGATAATATATACAACTCATTTGTATGAGCTTACTACAAAATATATTATCATCGATGTAATATTATTTTACTAAAATATTATTTATTTCATGTATTAAATAGATGATTTATAATATTATTTTTATAAAATATATGTAAATATTTTTATTCAATTTTTTTAAAAAGAACAATAATAAAATAATATTTTAACGCAACAAATAATTAAAAAGTTCAAATATAAAATAATATTTGATGCAAAAAATAATAAAAAGATTTAAATACATTCGCACTTAGTTTTTAATATGTATCCAATGTGTTTCAGAAGTACGAGACTTAAGTTGATTGTATAAATCAAAACGCGACCAATACATAGTTTGCCATGTAGATGCAGATAGACTTCTATAGGCATTCCAATATGTTGTGGTAAGAGGCATTGGGTAATTTCCTATCAAAAACACCGACATATAATGAATACCATTTACAAGTACCAACATAATGGCTCGATGCGGTTGAAACTCTTCGGGACCTCTCCAAAGAGGGAAGCATGTCGTAGATTATTCGTGGCATAAAAAATAAACAATCACACCAAACTTGTTGGCAATCAAGTAACCAGTCAAAGGCATATGCAACCAATGTCGTTGGGAAGGTGCAGGTGACTGAAACCAACATAATGACTGGTATACCTCCTTGAACCCGTCAGTAAAAACTCTATTGTATGCGTAATATTAACTCTCTAACTCCTCAAGCAATTGTTTTCAAATATAAAGCCACTAGTCTTCATTATACCCCAAACACATAGCTACCACTCGAAACCCACAATTTCCATCACCTTCTACATCATGTATATCGTCGATGTAATCATGAAATATATCTAGATTACCATTCATTTGGAATGGATAATGCCTTTGGGGTTCATCATTTAAGTCAATCCCACACGAAAAGCTATGTCGTTGGGGTTCATCATTTAAGTCAAACCCACACGAAAAGCTATGTCTTTCAGGTTCTTCATTTAAATCCATTTCATTAAACTCCGATATGGTTGAGAAGCTGCATCTACGAGGAGCATGATTTGAAGGATTGACTTTCTTTTTCTTTTGTTTCTTCACATTAGGTCGTCCACGTGTGTTTAAAAATAATATCATAATAACATAGTATATACTTGTTTATCTTTTGTTTCTTCACATTAGGTCGTCCACGTGTGTTTAAAAATAATATCATAATAACATAGTATATACTTGTTTAAAAATAAACAAGATAATAACATAGTATATACTTGAATTTATAGAAACCAAAAGTCTTCAAATCTTTGCTCGATAATAACATAGTATATACTTGTTTAAAAATAAACAAGATAACACAACATAAATAAATTTAAGAATCCTCAACTAAGAATTTTATGAAGACCAAATTTGCTAATCCTATTGTACAAGCCGATTACTATGAAAACTGAAAATTTCCAACTTTCTCGAAAATAAATACTTGATTTTTTAATATTAAATTTTAAATCAATATCAACCCTTCCAAATAATTGTTAATTTGGATTAAAATTAATCAAAGGCAATTGTGTGTAGAAATGATAATTAACATATTTACACCAATGCTCCCCATACATACATACGTGACGGGCCTTGTGCCAAAAGTAACCAAAAAATCCGAAGGATAATTCATTTGTAAGCCCTCGCCTCCAAAAAAAATTGCAGAAAAAATATATATACATATATTTATTAAACTGCCATAACTAGCCCACTATTTATATAAAGATTAATTATTACTATTAAAACAAATAATGCTTATTAAATACCACCAAATTGAATTAGATAATTTCATGACCAATGTTGGTTTTATCACAAAACCCAATGATAATACAAATTGATTTTGTTGTCAAACGTTCATGTATATAATTTCGATGACGACAGAAGCTCAAGAAATAGGTATTTTCATTATGATATTTTAAACCAATCCTAAAAATTCTTTTAACCAGATTCAAGTAAGCTCTGATACCAATTGTTGGTGAATTTATATAACCAAAACATAAAACGTGGAAGCATAATCTTGAATCTTTAATCTTGAATCTGGTTAAAAGAAAACTTAAACAATAAAGAACGATTACATACCTGATTCATTATGATCTTCGGATCTGAAGAACTAGGGTTGGGTTTTCTAGTTGATCTCAAGAACCCTCTCTAAATCCCACAGCAAACCCTAAACGAATTTACATGTGTATGTATTTTCGTATATTGTTGTAAATCTGCTTCTCATCACGTATTTATATAGATGGAGATATAACCGAATGTGAGAGATATTAGGGATTTAGGAGATCTTGAGTCAAACCGGGAACTCAACCCACAAGATAAATATGGTAAGTGTATATCTTTATTTAT